TGGATGGATGGATGGATGGATGGATGGATGGATGGATGGATGGGTAGATAGGTAGATGAGTGGATGTGTGGGTGGGTAGTTGGATGGATGGGTAGATAGGTAGATGAGTGGATGGGTGGGTGGGTGAATGGATAGATGGGTAGATGGGTAGATGGGTGAATAGATGGACAGCTAGCATATGGGCAGGAGAGTTAGGTGTTATGTCTCCTTTATGTGCCCTTCCTGTACTCCTAGGACATGTGCCTTTTTTAAAATATAGCTGTGTCACAATAAGAAGTGCTTAGTGGGCTTGTCCAGATAAGTGGAGCTGGATTGCAGGATGGTGGCGGGGCTTGGGTCATAGACCTAGAAGCTTAGAATAACAAGGTCTTGAGAGGACAATTTGAGAACATTACCTAGAGAGTCTTGGCCTTGGAAGCTGTCTGAAGTGCCATGGGAAATACAAAAGCTTGTGCCTGCCAAAACATTCAGACCCAGAAAGTGCAGAGTTGGCTACACTGGAGGGCGAGTGTAGAAGAGGAATGGGGAACAGAGCTGACCGGGAGACAGGTGTGTGCTCTCAGAGAAGCGTGTGCTTGGTGGGAGCATGACTCACTCACTGGGGCATGTCGGGTGCTGCTCATCTCAGGGGCAACTAGAAAGCGGCTCTGGGGCTCTCCCCACTTTGCTCTGAAGAGAAGGGTTTTATTATGGTATGCAGTGTTCCTCAAAATGGGGTCAGAATCACCTGCAGGGCTTAACAATTCAGGGGCCTGGACCCCACCTGGGTCCCCTGAATCAAATTCTCTAGGGGTAGTGCCTAGGAATCTAGCCTTTTTACAAGCTCCTCAGGTCACCTGTAAGGACCCTGCAGCTTGAAAACCTCTTCACAGATAAAGTAGAGATCCACCCTCAGCCCAATCATGAGAGAGCAGGGTCTCCTTTTCTGGGGGGTGAGGCTCCATTGGGACTCTGCCTCATTCCCACACAGGCATATCCCAAACCTCCCTGGAGTCTGCTGCCCTCTACCCCATCCAAAGTGGACACCAGCCCCACACCCTTCACCCCCAGGGCAGGGTGAGGGGAGTTTTGAGACAGGACCTCAGGGGAGTGGCCAATTGCCTTGAGGCCCACTTAGCCACCCTAACATCCCTCCTACCCTTCCAGAAACTCACAGGACACTTAGGTAATGCCAATACGTCCTACAACTGAGCCAGTGCTCCACTCTGTGCTTAGGCTCCAGGAGATACTGCCACCAGGAAAGGCCCCTAATGGGTCAGTGGTGATACCCGGATTTAACCACATCCCCTCTTCACCACTCTCATCCTCACTTCCTGGAGTTGACCGCCTTTTGCTGAGATGAGAACAACCCCACTCATGGGGCCTGGGCCACTTCTTTCTAAAACTGACTCCGGTTTCCATTCACATCTGTATTTAGGGATCTGACCTCTTTGTTCATTCATTTCACGGTGCTCAGCTTACTAGCAGTGTAACCACAGAGAAATTCCTTACCTTCGGAACCTGTTTCCTCTTCCTAGATTATCATGAGGAATCGAAGGTTGTGTGTGAAAGGGCCTGGCATGTAGTAGGCGTCCAATGAATGCTTGTCCTCCTTACACCCTTCCAAGAGGCAAGAGATGTGTGAGCCTGGTCCCCTCCCTCAGTGCATTCCTGTTTAACGTGGGAAAATAAGTTCTTAAAATAGTTGCAATAGGAGACAGCCCTCGTTGTTTTCAAGTGTCCTAGGTAGTGGGAAAGGGAGAGGTCTCCTGTGGCTGGGCCGTGCCTGCTGGGGGAACAGTTTGCCTCTTTACCTTGGACACCTCTCTTCTAAGCTGTTTCCTCATCGATAAAAGGGAATGGTCACACCTGTCCTGCCCACCTCACAGGGATGTCCCAGCTGAAAGCAAATAATGGCTGTGGAGGAGTCTGAGGCCAGTGCAAAGCTAAGGAAGACTCCTGGGAACCTAGGGAGAAAGGTGATAGAAGAGGAGAGTTTGGCAGGTCCATGGAGTGGGGAGGGAGCAGCCTTGGGAGGGAAAAAGGTGAGAAAGTCCATCCAGTGGCAGGATCCAGCCTGACCTGGCTCCCCAGGGGCCCCCGGGGCAGCTGGCTTCACTACAGTTGCCATTCATCCAGGGAGGTCAAAAGCAGGCCCCAGGCAGGGTACAGCAGTTCTAACCAGACTCATCGTGCTCACTCACAGTAGCAGCCAGCATGGACCTGGAATATCAGACTCAGCTGAGCACTGGTGGAGGGGGAAGGAATTCCGAGTAAGGCCCACGCTTGCATGAGCACCAACAAAATGCCGGTCCATGGAGTGCAGCTCAGCCTAGGATAGTGAGTGCTGCCCCAGGCTCTACCTTCCGTTTAAAATGCAGACACACTGGAGAGGAAGGATGTGATGATTCAAATTGGTATTTTTTAAAAAATGAGAAGAAAAAGCTTTCACTACCCCCAGTGGGGGACTCTAAGCCAGGTGGGTTGGTCCTGCAGAGAACCCAGAGCCCAAGCACCCAACCCGATTAGGACCCCTCTGCCCCACCTCTCCTGTTCCCTGGGCCTAAGGACAAGCTGTTCCCACTGAGCTCTGCCAGGGCTGCGCTTTAACCCTACAATCCATCCTAATCCTCCACTCCACCCCCTCAGGCTGCTCCCTCCCCAGCCCTGGCATTCTGCCTGCCAGCCTCAGCCCTGTCTTCTCCCTGCCCTGCTCTGGCCACCCTCTCCTATCACCAAGAAGAGCTGGGGGCTGGCCCGGGCCCTCCAGAGCAGTCGCAGGCCAGGCACCTACTGTTCAGACACAGAGCCAGGGACTGAAGCTCAGCCTGTTCCCCCTCCATGCAGGCTCTTCCACACCCTTGCCCTCTGCTCTGGGAATCTATTGCGAGGAGCAAAAGGTCTGGGAACCTAAGGTACCTAAGGTACCTGGATCCTATGTTTACCTGCCCTTGGGGCTGCTGACTCACCTCTTGAAGCTCTGGGTCCCAGCTGTTCAGTAAGGGGGAGATTACATAAACTG